GCTTTCAAGCAATAGAATTCGTGAACCGACCCGTTCAATGAAAGTCGTCACGATTCTTATTCCCAGTTTCCACGGCCTCCGCTAGGAACGCCTGGGACCACGACCCACCACTATTTGAGGCAGACACTACGAAAAACGAAAAATAAAACGCTTGCATTTTCTGAGTCTCGCCGCTAAAGCAAGCGAGACTAATAAATTATGCGCTTAATCCCATTACCTATGCCCAGTGAAAGTACTGGTAATATTGTAAATATTATAGCTGATTTTGCTTCATTTTTCTCGGTCCAATAACTTTAGCCACAGGTAACTGAAGCCAGTTTGTTAGTGATCGAATAAGGTAACACATTACCTTTGAATTGCCAATATACTCAGAGTTCGATGGCATATTGAACCAAGGATGAGAAACTATGAGCGTGTAGTTCAATATAAACTTAGAAAGATTAATGACCTCATTATGAGAACATGTACGTTTCGCGGGCACGCTCCTTTTTTCGAATCCTTTACCCCAAGTTTCTGGTTTCTCGTGTTCGATTACTGACAAAACCTATCAAATAAGGGGAAAGGGACTTACAACCATCCAAGAAGAAAAGGAATTGCTGGGGCACCCATTATTAGAGAGAGCTTTCGCCAGTCCCTAACCAGATATGCTAGCCCGGCCAGCGCCATGTTGGATAGGTTGAATGAATACCAAATGGAGCAACCGGCAGTGCTTCGGTGGCGAATTCCCACGAGCTCTGTCAGCAGAACATACGAGGCAATACTATATCCACCTGACGGGAAAAAAAAACGTGTCAGGACTTTTTTCAACCAAAAAATCTTTCCTTGGTATTGATATTCTTCCATGAAGTAGTGGCTGAAATACTGACACGTGTTCCGATTCTGATTGGTCACCAAAAAATTAGTCCATGCGCAACTGACGCTTAACTGATTGGGTTGAATTGAACTCTTACGCTAATTTCTACAGTGCAGATCGTAGACATTGTTCAAAGATTTCAATGACGCGGGAGCACTTTTACAGAGATCTTAGTTAGTTCTAGAGTACGCTGCATATGCAATTGCCTGCCAAAAGAAAGTTAGAACTTTTACGAGACTATTGGCGAGTGTTAAAGAAAATATAGCACATTGTTTATTTATTTCATTACTGTGTTTCGTAGTGACAGACTACTTTTGTTTAGCTACAGTACGGTGCTTAGTTGTGAGCATCGTCGTATGTAGTCTTTTGATTTGGTGACAAAAATAGTAATAATAATAATGATAATAATAATAATAATAATGATTTTTAAAAAATAAAATAACTTTATTCATAGATTCAAAAAAATAGACTATTTACAGATTCAAGAATATGAATATTAAAATATATACCCTATGTACATTCTTCTTGTGTACGAAAGAGAATTGTCGTAAAATGACTATCTAAAAACTACTAATAACAATTATAAAAAGGCATGAAAAAGTTAATAAAAAAATAAAACTATCTAAAAATAATTCAAACTGATAAAATAATAATAATAATAATAATAATAATAATAATAATAATAATAATAACAAAACAGGCCACTGTCACTTCTTGACTAACCTATTCCAAATCCAATCAGGCATCGAAAGAAAGCAAAAAGCCAAAATGCGTGCGGGAAAGCTGCTGTAAGGCTAAATATAGAAACGATGGCTCCAGATATGTACATGGTGATTTTCCTGCCAAACTTGTCGCTAAATGGACCCACTGCAACTCCTCCCAGAAAGAAGCCAACGAATATCATAGACGATCCAATAGTACCGTACAGGCCCCGCTCACATACCAGGTCAAACTGTTCAATCAAAAGAGACAATGCAAACATGTCAGCGGAAGAGCTTAGAGGGATGTCAGGCCATTTGCTATTTTTTTAAAAAGGTAAAACGTATCTTCGAATCATTTGAACTAGACAAGACAAGACAAGACAAGACAAGACATGTATTATCATAATATTACAAGTACAATTTTTTGGCACGCAGTTAGCAAGAAAACGCTAGTCGAGGTGTGCCAAATTAATTCCATTACAAAAGAGATATTACATTATATAATAAGTAAAAAGTAAAGAAAAAGAAAAGAAGAAATATGTGTAGTGAATTCAAAAGCAAGAAAGACTTCGTTTTCTTCAGCTTTGCTTAAGGTTTTAGTAATAGAAATTTAACAGCGATTTACACCGAACTAGAGCTCAAAAATAGTGCGACTTACTCGCTCGAAGGCCATGCCCAAAAACATAATGGTCTGGTTTTGCTATTAAAACCTATTTCAGCTCATGGAAACCGTTTCCTGTCGTTTGTTGATACGGATGGCAAAGATGGACATGGATTTGAAACTTGAAGATAATAGGCCAAGTTTTAATGCATTGGACCTAGAAGTGATTATGGTTACAGTGCTCTCTGGTGAAATTTATGTAATGTATTCTTTTTGACTCTACAGGATCATTTCGTGTATGGCTAGAGGCACCAATGATGTCAGCAAAGAATTGACCTAAAACAGGGCTAGCAATAAGTTAACTTTAAGTTTACTTCTCAGGAAGCTTTACTTCGTGCACTTGTAAAATCTAGTCATTGCACTACTATCAGATAGCTTCTCGAAACAGAGTGGTTTCTACGGCCAGGTGGGAGGTAACTTGATTTTGTTTTGTATCACTGCGCGGTGTAATTAGCTAAAACAATCATCCGTTGACCTTTTCCAGCCCGTCAGAATTATAGCCAAAAACAAGTGACATTTTTCCCCCGCATAAGAGACGTTACAGGTTCGATCCTGGCTGTGTGCTCTGATTGGTCCGTTGAGAAGACATGCTCTGACAAAACCGACAAAATTTATTGTATGTTTTTTGTCTTTGTTTTAGTTTCTTCGATAACACCTTTCCAATATTTGTAAATTAAAACTGCCAGCGTAGCATTTTCCCAAACAGGAAAACACACTTTTGATATCTTATTCCCTTGTATAAGAAGACTACGCGACCACAAACACTAACAATAGTGGGAAAAAGCGCAATCGTAATTCAGATTTTACGTAGCTTCCAATGAAGATCATCTTTAATTCAATTTTATGGATGATCATACTGACACCAGTTACTTCTACATAACGGACATCTTTACACGCACCTACACAGTACATAGCCACCTACTGTTGTTTCAACAGTGGCTGCTGTGTAAAAGTTCGACTGCTTGGCGATATTCAGAAGCATGAAAGTTAAACTCATTCTCGGATTTTAACATCTTTAGTTACCTCAGTCACAACAGAAGTGAAATCTTCAACAAACTCCCACTGATCACGAGGAATGTCACATCTGAAGCTGTAATTGTCGTGTCTGGGCCTCATGGTTCCGTTTAGCGGACAGACACTGCTGTTGGACACACATTTCCAGGCCGGCTCGGCGGTGATAAAGGCCACTATCATAACAGGCCAACCAAACCAGAAGAACATCAAGCCATTTAGAAAAATCAGAAGAGAGATTTGATAATGACCAAAGCTTCCGATCTTCTCAAGGTACTGATCCGTTGTCAGCGTCATCTATGAGTGTGGTGATACATATTACATACAAACATACTTAGATACATACATACATAAACTAACCCTACGTTCGGATCCTTCAGTTGAGATTTGTGCCTGGCTCTGATCGATTGCGATCACAAAGTTAGCATAATATGCTAGTAGCAGTGCTCGTATATTTCTAAAATATTAATGGCAAACATATTCATGCTATTTACGTCTAGAAACTTGAAGAGTGCATGATTCATTGTCTGAAAACTGTAAAAACCCAAACACGTAACAACCAGGTAACGTAGCGTAGTTCTGTGGAAAGAGCCCTGGGTAACTTCCTTTGGGACCAACGTTCCATGAATGTGACAATACGTAGACCAAAAAAAAAATGATTTTGCTTGTAACACTGATCTCGGGCCCAAAACCTTGGTTGCAAGATCAATAAATGACAGCAGCGCTTTTTTTTCGGAAAATAGATGAAAATTATGAAAATTATGCTCGTAATGACGAATTATGGCAAAAAATACGCTAGCACAATCTATCAAAGCCAACCAGGCTCTCGATCAGTGCGGACGAGCAAGCAGTGAGCGAGGAGTGAAATAGAGAACGAGCGAAAAATTGCAGGAGGAGATAAGAAGAGAACCTGTAAGCACCTTTTCAAATACCTCAATCCACCTACCAGCTTGCTCACTTTCAGAAAAACCGTTTCTCTTGTCAAAATATCAGATGCCAAAACGTCAAAAGGTGCGGTGTAGGAGGTTTTCACATGTTTGTTAGACTCTACGCGTGCGTAGCCAAATGATCGACGTAAGTGTTGAAGTAAACTGTCACAACTGACCAATCATAGGGTATATCAGCCAATCATATGTTATGTACCAGGAACTCGTATACCCGAATCTGAGGTCTTGAAAACTATGCTTACAGGTTCCAGTACTCCATCTCTCCCCAGCCCCCGCGTGGTTTTCGCGCAACGTTTTTTTTCGATCCGCTTTCTTCACTATCTGGGAGCCTGGACCAGTGGAACAGTCTACAGCAATTACTGCTGGTGTTACAGAATCGGAAGAACCTTTAAAAATATAGTCAAGTATTCATAATAAATAAAAAGACTTTAGATAAAGCACTAATTACATGAAGGACTAGTCACGGTTGTAAGAAGGAGCTTTTTTAATGTTTATAACGTGACATTGTCTGTTTCAGGAGGAATTTTCACCATAGAAAAGATATCATGTAATAATTAGACTGCAAAACAGTCCGTACTTTTGCGTATTCAGGTAAGCGCAAACAGTCAAACAAAAGGCCTGAACTCCATTTTGTTTCATTAACTGATAGTTTTATCATGTTAGATGCAAAACTATTGAAACCTCGATCTTTAATGTAAACGGAGACAGCTTACCGGGCCCGTTAATTATCGGGACTTTCGAGAAACGGGCCCCTGGAGCGAAGTTGAAAACAGAGAGCGATACTGGGGAGAGACGCTAAAAATACGCTTTTTTTCTCTCACCTACATGCCCTACGGGCTTTTAAGGCTCGCGTACTTCGCGCATGAGACTCTTACACTACGCTAAACCTATTTTGAGAAAAAAAACCCGACTGTTTTACAGTCTAATATATAATCAATCATTCATTCATTTAAAGTTAGTCAGTCTGCGGGTAAACTAAACCAGCCAACTGAATTCGTCTGCCGGTTAGTCGGTAACTTAATCTATTCGTCTAACTACCTATTCATCAAACCGTTACATCTGTCCGCCTAACTGCCCGTCCGGACCTATGGATGAGATCTACCAATACTCTTCCAATTAAGCTATTTAGGCCAGGCGGGAGATAGTGGTTGACGGTGATGATTGTTTTAATTTGCGAATAAAAAGGAATGGTTTGGATTCACCCTAAGGTTTAAAGAATTTTTCTTGCCTCACATGGTTCCGTAATTCCCTCAGGGGTAACCCTTAACGGGAATAGCTAGGGTTGTTTTCTAGAAGCACTCCAGCGATGAATCTTTGTTCCACCACTTGCGTTACAAGGGTAAAATACTTTCTCTTCGCCGAAACTGACCATCATAACCACCTACGACTTGCTCTTTTCCCCATGGCCTCGTGGCTTAGTCGGTAGAGTAACAGTGGATCCGAAAGGAGGTGGCTCAACGATTTTTTCTTTTCCTCGCGTAATTTGCTGTTAGCTATTCCCTATAATAGAGGAAACTGTAGCGCTTTCATGCACTGTGTTAATTCCCTGTACCTCCATAAATTTGCTGCTCTTCTTAACCAACTGTCTGCTTACCTACAGTCTCTTTTTCTGTCTGTCTTCCTGCGTCGATCTATTTATTTTTCATTCTCTGGCTTCCATTTCCCTTTTTAATTCTTCACGGAGAGCACGGCCCTCCACACGTCCAATACCCCAGACCACACGATGTATCAGGGTGTAAACTTCTCACAAACTAATTAATTCTAAATAAGGCAGGCGAAAAGAGTGCATTGACAGGCAATTTCATTAGAGCGGTGAAGGAAAACTGACCCCCAATGGGGATGGGTTGGTTTGGGTTGGGATCTTTTTTATGAAGCGTGGCGTGACTGTAGCCTTTATTAGTGATTCGTGGATGTGATGGTAATAGTCCTGCTGAAGCTAACGTGAAATGGACGGATTATTTAAAAACACAGCAGAGCTGATAAGAACGTTCAGTTTTGTTTTGTGTGTGTGTGTTTTTTTTGTTAGTGCAAAACCGCTTTAACGATATCAGATTTTTTTTTCTTTTTTTAAATGCCTTCTGTGTACATGTTGCGTTTCCTTTTGTGTATTTTCGTGCCATCCGTTAGACAATATCGTTACAAGTTCAATAGCGCGTGACATTTTTCAGTTGTTAATTGACTTAATTGCAATATTTGCGAGATGTGACGGTCATTTTTATTATTTTTTTTTTTAACAAAGGTACCTTCCAGGCCTCGATTGTTTTTATTGTTTCCGGTCAAATTAACTTCAGGGCTCAACTTCGTTTGAAGAGAAAGGAGAGAGCAATCTCTTGGGGCCAAGGTAATTCAACAATGGGAGCTAATTAAGACCACCTGCAATAAAGAACTATTTATGGATCCTACACAGAAAATTTTGAACCGATAAAAGAAAAATGCGATGTCGTTTGCGTGCTCAGTTATGCAAATGAATGAACTTTAATCTAAACTCAAAGAATGATCGCCTAAATTTGCATCGCCAAAGCAAAATGATGGAAAATTCGAGTTTGAGCTCATAACAAAAATCATTAGCATACTCCTGTTTAGCGAGTGAATCAACAAGTTGAGTCTTCAAACCCCGATAATCTGAAATCTGATAATCGTACGTTCAGCTTTTCGTGCATGGAGTGTAATTTAGGTGTAGTACACCTTCATACATGTGTACATGCTTTTTATAATACCTATTATCTACATCAGCGCACTAACCTCAAATCACGGGGGAAGCTGTAATCTTCCAAATAAAGGACACTTCTGACAAACAAATGGCACAAAGCAATTGTCTTGCGGCTGTGGTTGGGGCTTAATGGTTGCGTGACTGGCACGTAAACCATAAAGGTTGCACTGGACTGCGGACTATGGGTTCAGGAATAAATTAGTATGAAATGTAGATTGAAACTTGGTGCGGAAATGGTAATTCCAAATTGCCGCTGACAATTGTTCTTTAATTAGTTGTTAGTGCCAAGTAAGGTTCGTAATCTTACGGTTAGGTAGTGAGCCTCTCTATGGGTACCTCCGTTTTCGTCGCGTGAAAAATTTTCAGACAAACACGCCAAATTAAGTTTACTAAAAAGACATATTAAATTAATGAGGTGACATATACGGTTTATACGGTATATACTGTATTCATAGTGATTCCAAGCCTTGTAGAAGTGGAACGTCGATCAGGAAACTTTAATTCATCCGGGGCATGTCACTGATACCGTATGAATGATATCTATTTCAGTTGTATTTATGGGAAATGGGTTTTTGTTCAAATCTGTCATGAAAGACATACTGTTCAATGTACAAAAAAGGAAAAATCGAAACTTGAATTTTTCCTTTCCTTTTTCATTCACCATTTTCACATAGACCATAATGCATCTTGTTTACTCCCCAATATTATGGATAACCATTGTCTTCGATTTCTTTTGTAGGGACGACTGTAACTGACTCAGGAGGTATTTATTTGAAAATGATGAATAACCGGGAGCGTGCAAATCCGGCGCTTTCAAAGATAGAATTATATCTTCAGCATAATCGTGAGCACTTTTCGCCACGAAAATGTAAGCACCGTTCCGTATTCCTGCGCATCCACAGTGCGATAATTACAAAAAGAAGTAGTAAATGCTATCCAAACATCACAAAAACTTTTCCTAGTCTCCGGTTTTTGATGACTGATTTGTGAGACTTATTTGATATTCAAAATTAGCGGAAAAATCGATCTAAACTTCAACTTGTAGCCCTGTGAAAACACCGTTGCATGGGGAGAGACACATTAAGGTTATAAGCTGCTGGAAGCCAATAATTTAGTGCCTGTGTGTGATAAGATGTTTACGTAAAGAGGGATTCCAACAACCAGATGTAGATTACGTTTTTGGATCAATAGTTTTACCGAAATCAATTTACTGTCTACCGATATACGCGTCTTGAACACCTGAATGAAAAACGATCCAGAATTTGTAAGAGCGCTGCTATAACAAAATACTTATCTTTTAGCTGTTTAATTGTTTTTTACTTTTGCAAAAAGTAAATCTTTTTAGTTTAGCATGTATTTTTGCTTAAACAATACGATGTACAAAGACCTTTTAATATGGGATTTGTTTGCTGTGTGCTCCTGCGTCAGCCTCATAAGAAAGATTTACATGTACTTTGTCTATTTTTGCGAGCAGCTAATTTCCCTGATTTAAAAGGAAAAAAGCTAACATATAGTAATACTGAATTTTGATAATATTATTGCTATAAGTCGCAAATGAGGCGTCCGTAGCTTGAAGGAGAAATGACACTTTTCTTAGCTAGATTTTTCAGCATTATCTGATCCTCCCCTGCTTCACTGTC